AACGCGATACAATTCGCTTAATAGCAAACGGAAAGTCTCCAAAACATTTGCGGGAATTTCCGAGTACATCTCAAGTCGTATTTCGTTACGCTTTCGTTACTTATCACTGCCGGTGACTAATCTTTTACGGCTCTTCGATGGCTATCTGGACTTCTAGAATATTCGTTACAACAGAACGAGACATGAGGCCTTGGAATGTGAAATAATCTGAGTTGCATCAGTGTAAATCTTAGAAAAGTAGTAATATAATGCTGTGAGAGCAAAACATCGAACTCAAAATACCACCCCACAGACACCTACTGGCATGGTTGGATCCAACACAACGAAAAATCCTGACGCTGACTTTAAATACTCAACGTATAAAAAGTTTTGAAGGCCGCCATGAAATCCCGTAAATTCCAACGGAAATGCTACATAAGTTTTGAAACAAATCAGAAATACCATTCGGATACCACAAATTTAAAGGAAAAATCTGACATAAGAAATGAATGAAATTGAACCTGGAATTCAAATGGACACATAGGTAATTCAAAGACAACCTGAGATTAGAAACATTCATTATTAAACAAAAGAAACACAAGTACAAAGTCCTGTAATAAAAATTCTAAGGTTCACAGAACGGATATTCGGATACAGAAGGTTGAGCCTAGAAACACATAGGTACATTTTAGGTTTTGTTTTGTAATGACCTATGTGTAAAAACTACATCAATAAAATTTGATTGATTTAGTAAATCATCTTCCTCTCATGTCATTTGAAATTTCTTAAAATCATTCTAGAATTTTCTTTTCACTGATACTGTGTCGCTGAGACACTCTAGATGTAATCTCTGGATGTAGCAAAAATACTTCATGCAACCACTGTCACTTTCTTGTAGTTACTTTCAATTGATACCCCTTCTTTTTATATGTCAATTAAGATTGTTTTTTAGTACAATGTAAGCAGTACCAGCTGTTCGAATAGATGATATTTCACTGGCGATGTTGCGATAGCTTTCAACACGTCTTCTCGGAAGTATTGCAGCTGTGTTTCTCTATATTTCTTTGCAATATCAGATCGTCGCAATTTTAAAGACCTCCTTTACTAGATGCTCGTGCAAAATTAGGTATGGCGATAGTTAAGTAAATAGTTTACACAAACGATTAAAGGACATTAACGATTTTAGCTACGGCCTGATGATAACAAAAACTGTCATAATCGATAGCCTCAAGAACAAAAAATTTTTTTTGAGGAGTAACCCATGAGCTTTACTTTATTTTATACGTTATTAGAAAAAAAAACATACAAAACTTATGTCGATTATCAGGGAAGGTATACCTGAGTGCTATAGTTGGGATTATGTATGTATGTATAAGACATGTTTTTCAACCACTGCGTAAGTCATGTGCCAGTTAAACGAATTTTTATAATTCCACTTTATAAACTGCACGCTATCACAAAGGGGTAAAGATTCAAGGAAACTAGTTTATCATTAGTCAAAGCTATATGATCTATATATTGATGTGAAAGACAACGTAAAACCAAAAGGCTATAAGTCTTAAGACTAAGCAAAATTCAAATTAGTTTATTTTTCGTTTCAGATTGTCTTATCAAAGTAAATTTAATTTTTCATGGTAATGAAATTTAATTCTTCCTTTTATAAATTTAACTAAAGGATACGAAAATGCGCTTTCTTATTCTAATAAACTTACAAACAGAGCTTTCAGTATTTTTCCTGATTTGCATTGGGCGTTTCTGAAATATGGAAACGTAAAATTTGTAGAGAGAAAATCTTATTTTACATGTAGAAGTGAGCTCTCTCGCATTTTTATCATATTTACGAGTCTCAAGCAAAGATATCCATAAAATACGAATCCACCGATATAACTAAGCTCTCAATTATTCCTTAGTTAGAGCTCACAGTCGAAATATTTACGTTAATGTTCCTGCCGAGAATTTACACTTAAAAGGAGGGAAACTAAGGCGACATCGGGGATAATAAATTTTGTATAACTTGCAAATACACGTGCTCCCAATTTAGTTCGTAATTTGTAAAATTTCCGTTTTTCCCTTAATAAAAAATTTATTCCGTTGTACAAAAATTCGTCGAGTTTTGTTAGCCCATTATTTCGAATAGTTTAGCACATTGTTTGATGAAGTATTTAATGCGGTGGTTTTTCGCGTGTACGAATTCCTGTTCATATTCCATTCGCATAAAAATGAAATAAATGGTTAATGTTTTACCACAAATTGTAGTGCCTGATATAATTGATTTATTAGAATTTTTTGAGCACACTAAAAATTCAACGTGCTTCCAAGCTACTTACACCAAACAAATTATATGTTAGGGTTGTTAAGTTGAAGCAACGATGTAGAATCAAGAAATTACCCTATTCTATTTACATTTTTTGGTTTGTCTCCGCTTCATCTGCAGTCTTCTTCAATTAAAGAGGAAACCCTTCCATTTTCAGAATCAGTTTCAAACGTGAACTGCACCAAGAAAGGGATGTTAGATCATTTTAAGTGAAAGAATTTCGCATAATACCGAAAAATATCTAAAAGAGATTTGACACAGTGATGGATGTTGAATGTGAAAAATCAGATTTTTTAGCATAAAATACGCAATGCTTTCATCATTTCGTCAGTCATTTACGGACATAAATCTGTGAAAGAAAGATACATTTTTTGTATACGCGTTTAAGGTGGAAGCCTTTGAAGTTGAATAATTATAGTCGAAAAACCTTCACTGAGGCCTAACCGCGCGCAGAGAAGAATCTGAAAATTTTACGATAATAAGTAAAGGACTGTATTATTTAAGGGAACCTGTCCGCTACTAAAAGATTTAAGGCATATGGAAATGTTTCACTAATTACGACATTTTTCTATCCGTGCACCTTTCATTTTTATTAATTAAGAATTAAGAAGAAAATTAATTCAGCAAACATTTAAAAGGATAAAATTAGAATTGCAGAAATTTAAAAACTGTTAGATAAAACTTGGTTTTCTCTTGTTTGGTAACAGTGTCAGTTTCCATACTTAATTGCATTGTAATATAATAGACATGAATGTAGGTATAATTACCTTTCAAAAGTGCTAGTTATAATTGCTGCTAATCTAATATATAAAAATTAAATTAAATTAGATGATAATCACAAGAGTAGTTATGACACCGATAATTAGGGGCCAAATGTAGTTAAATCAACCGTTTGATATAAGTAGACACAGATTGCATTTTTGGAAGGGTTAAATCTTACCCCAATTACACAATTTGGTTAGGTATGCACCTTCTGTTGATGAGCTTTTCGTTCTTTAAGTACTTCAAATGGCATCACGGAACAAAAAACTAATTTTTCTACGACCCCTATAAAAACTACATCATTGACTTTTTACAGCCTGACCTTTTTAAGAAAAAATGTTTGCTTAATTAAAGAAGCCATTTCGTATGGAGTAGACTTAGGTCGAAATTGTACTCCGTTTAGAAAATTGAATTTGGCACTAGCGAAATTCAGTCTTTCAAATTGTAAAACTTTACGTCTCGAAATGGGAATGTCGATTAATGAGAAAATAATTTAATCGGCTAGCAAATAGTTAACTGGAGTTCATGCTAAGTTAATTAAGCGACGTACAGATATTCTTTTAGGGTTTGATTTAAATCGTCCATTTGATCGAGAGCGGATTGCTGATATTTGGCGACACATTTCAATTTGAGGCGTTTCATTTACGCGAAAAAAATTTATACTCGCATATGTCACATAAATAATTAAAATGCATTACGAAATTGTTAAATTTTGCGGATTATCTACGTTTTCATATTTAGTTAGGCAATAAATTCGCCCATCTGCTGAGTTTCGTCGTTTTTTTCATGATTTTATTTAGTACTTCTGACAGTAAGTTTCATTTTATGTTTCCCAATAAATCGTTTGAGTATTTAATCCCTAAAATGATTTATCGAATACAGTAATTCGGGAGGGATTACCTACTGTTTGACATAAAACTCGGTAGAGTTAAGATAGGATTACAGATAGAACTTCATTGGATCTTTCAGTTGTAGAATTAACTTAAAAATAACATTTAAAGAGAAGTAACACTTGTATTCTGAGAGCTGGACGTTCATATTATTTGGTACTGTGTAGAATATATTGGTTTCATTACTATATTCTGTGGTATAATTTGGTTTTGTACAAATTACTAAACCCTTAAATTATACGAATAATAAAAGTTACAAGAATAATGTTGAATTTTTTTGTTTCACATAAGATGGCTGACATAACGTAGGCACGAAAAAGAAAATTTCGTAACGATTTTTGGTAAAGAATTTATCTGGATGATTGCAGCCAAGAAACGCGCATTTAATGAATGGTACACAGTTATTTTTTGTGTACAGCTTGTGTTTTTCAATCACCCATGTCGCCTTCGAGTCTGTTTCACATCCATAATGGGCTATATTGAATTACATTAGTGAACTCGTCATAAGATAAACTCGTACTGTGGAAACAGCTGATCGTGCATTTTTTTTAAACGGTTAACCACCTTTAAGACCATATGGGATTGGTAGTAAGAAAGACACTAACCAATAAAAAATTACTCTGTAATTACAGAGGAAGGTAATTCAGTTTTGAAAATTAATAGATAATTTTATATGCTAGCCGATAGCAAAGAATAAGACAATTTATTTCTAATAAGAACTGGTGCTACCAAAACGTAGATTGTGAATGTGGATAAAAGCTGTTTACATCCTTTTGAATATAATACGGAAATCAATTATGCAATAATAATAATAATATTAATACCAAAATAATTTCATTTATTGATCAAACGTTTTGATCATCAGCAAAAATGGGAAAATTAACATTAATGAAATTTCCTTATCGTGAAAGTCCTTAGCTTTATTTTGTATTGCCATTAGTATACGAAAAAGTATATTTCAATAAATAATTTCAAGTTTCATGCAGTAGTATACATAAGAGTAATGATAAAGAAATGAATTGCCGTATGCCGTACTAAGAGTTTCTTTTTCGTAGAATTGCGGCCTAAGAGATACCAATGGAAAAATTGAGCCGTCGAAGAATTGAGAGCGAAGAATTGCGAACGAAGAACTCCTGGACAAAGGGTATTCCGGACACTGCTAGTGACGAGAGTAGTCGCTTCTTTGGGTGAGTACAAAATTATTGCAACTTAAATTTATTTATTTGCAATTAATAAAATTTGTAACCGTCTTGAAATGAATTGATTTGTAACAGTTAAAATATTATTTATCACTTTCAAATACACAATTTATGACTTCAACTTGGAAATTGAAACTGTCCTAAAATGCAATTCGACTGTTTTCAAGTGCTCGCGAGTCTTCGCGAACGGTCTAGAACACAACACGTAATATTTTCCGGAAAGATTGCGTTACATCCGCCTTCGTTCTTTATCGCCGATGACTAATCTTTCATGGTACCTCGATGTCCATCGAGATTTCTGAAATATTCGCTACATTATTTTAGTTAGCAGCGCTGTAAATTTAAACCAGCCTTAACGAAATATTAATAGGAAATATGCGTCAAATTTTGGTGAGGCATAACGTATTTTGGAAATGTTTTTTCAATTACTTGTACCAACAGAAATTAAAATTCAAGTTTGGTTGTTTCATTTCCAAACAGATATATTTATTGTAGTGTACCACCATAAATTATTATTAGCAAAAACCGCGAAAGCTACACTAAATATATATTCTTGAATTTAGGTTAACTGCGTTAACTTTAATCCGCGCACATAAAGCATGACGAGAAAAATTTATGCGAGTTTATGCACATATACAGTGCAATAAAAGTGTGATGCAATTTGCAAACAAAAGATGTTACGGTTATTACATATTCAGATACCTTCAGCGTTAAGGTGACATGGGTACTTTATAGGTTTATCTATATTTTACAAGGAAATAACAATACACAGCCGCTGGCAATTTTCCAGCGAGACCACTGCATGGTGGCTGACACTTTTAAAGTTTTTCACGAAGACGCTTACGCCGTCAAAGAAATTTAATTTTGTAATTTCCGCTTCTTACGAAATTTCCCTTCAAATCGCACGTAAATACTAATTGCATTACGCCGTCACTGTCGATTCGGACGGGACGAGAGAAAAAGGAGAATAGCATCTAATGTCATTTAAGAATAATTTTTGCGCGCCGAAATAAAGGCGAATAACGCTTAAAATTTTCAATACATTTCCTTTGTTAAACTGCAAAGATTAAAATTGCAGAAACCCAAAACGAAACGTAGTTTAAGTAATGATATTGAGTCAGACAGCATTTGTAAGTCTTAAAGTCAAAAGTTCATCCCGCCATTCGGAAAGGAATTGGAGAATAAAGTTAAAAAGTTATTAAATTTCTCTAAAGTTAGCGATTCTTCCTTGTACAAGTTTTATGTAATCTGGGGTAGTAGTTGATTTGCATTATAAAATAAAATGGGGAATATTTTAAACGTCGCATCGTTTTTTAATCAATTTTTGTTTTTCGCGGAGATGCCCTCAATTGATTTCATTATTTTTCTATTCTAGAAGTAATTACAAACGAACTTTTCGCGCGAGTTTAATGAACAACGCGGCACCATTCTAATTAAATCTTAGCCATCGCTCGGTTACATAAAACTTTTAGGGATTTAAATAGGTTTTATTTATCCCAACTAAACAAATTGTTTCGTTTATCTTTATCTGAAGGGGCATAAAATTAATGCAAATGCGGCTACCGTCACTTCTAATTAAATTGAAACGGAAATGGCGAAAGATATACGCCATACGGTAATAATTTCTAAACTTTTTATTGGTGCCTTTTCATAAGCGAGGGGTGCAGAGCTACGAGTGAAAAGTTTGCATATATCTACTATGAATTACCTATTTACGTCAACGGAATGTCGCTTATGTTTCGAAATTGCCCTTTTGTACTAAACGTTTCATTAAAATTGACATTTCATATAATGCTATGCCCGAAATAGACACTATTGCATTCTTATATTGTGGCAAACATTTTTTGTGCGTCATGTTGTAAAGGATTTCTTAAATATAGCTAATCAGAAAGGAAAAAAACAAAACATGAGATAAGATTTAAATTTGTAAGAACCCCGACCAGGCTGTCACAATCTCACCTACCATACATTTCAAGGTATAGTCGATTTATTCATCTTCCAATAAATTAGTTGAAGATATGTACAATAGAGGAACGGGCAGATGGACAGATTGGACTCGTAATAGCCATTCCGGTAGGAAACCTCTTACAAAAATGTCAGGGAAACGTATCCAATTTACTATTCGTAATTTCATATTTCAATAGAATTCTTCCCAAGAAGTGGTTTGACTGTTAACTGTACAAATAACGGTGGGGAATCTAAAACGATCCACCTCTAATTACTGAGACGAGATGTCCTCATTGCGGTGAAATCTACTGTCAATTTCGAGATCTTTTCTTTGGTGTGTTTTAAAAGATATGGTGCTAGTTAATATTTTAAAGTCGGTTTTGGAGGGGAAAATCCGAGGGAAAATCACTCCCGCTCAGTAGTGATGTTTTTAGTGGAATATGGTGATATTACACGTTCTTCTCCAGATGTTGAGGATGGATTGTTTTAGATGCGCGTAGAATCGTAGATTACAAGGAATAAATATAGAAAAAGGAAAGTATTAAATGGGGAAAATAGTGCATTAATCAGTTGCTTACTTTATTTTGGTAAAAAGAAAATGTCAAAAAACCCGGAAACCTAATATATTTTTTTAATGGTTCGCTAAAGTCTAATGGCATATATGTCGATCTGCATTTAATAAAGTACAAATTGGGGCCGAATTTGTGAAACAAACGAGAATTGGTTTGTTGTTACTTTTGATTCATGGACTGATTTTAGGGGGCAGCAAATTTGACCTAAAAATTTTTGTCATAGAAATAAAAAAATTTTGAAAAAAATCATTATTATGCAGGGTAAGTTTTTTTCCTGGTTTTTTTCCATAGTTAGGTTCCTGCAGGGGTTCCTGTTATTGGCTCGTCACATCCGTCTCACATTTTAGAGAACTAAATAGGGCATTTTCCCCGTTTTTTTAAGATTTGTGAGTAAAGTATGTGGCCTACAGTCGTCGTGCTTAAATTAAAGCTAATTACATTTGCTACAAGATCTTTTCCTATAAAATTATCACATCAGGTCTTTCGAAGCTGCAAACTTGGATATACACTACTGGGTAGTGGTGGTAACAACACATTAAAAAATCACAACTAAACCTTAGGGAGTTTGCAATTTTAGCGATTTCTTGTGGTCTTTCATGTATCTTATCACATAAAGGATACAGTCAATAAATAAACAAAGCTTTGCTCAAACAAACTTGCGACCCAAACGAACTGAAAACCCGACTTAGCTCGTTTCAATTTTGTAAATGTAAATGTGAGAGCGAAAGTAACCATACCACCTCAAAAATTGGGAAATAGTACAAACGACAAGCTCAATTAAATGCATGAATTTTTAATTCTTGAGCTTGTTCGTGGCAGGTTTTTAAAATTGATTTGGAGAAAATGATTTGCGCTCAAAAATTAAGAAAAACTTGGGGAAATTAATTACGGCAGAACTAATTGACGAAAACATTTTTAGGGATTCATTTTTATAGCCCTAGTGTCGCGGACGATTACATTTCTATCGCTTCGAAGATAATAGACTTCGACGCCGTGCAAGTTCTAATCAATAACCCCAAACCCGAATTAAATCTACAACATAAGAGAAATGCAAGATGTAGCAAGGTTCATTTAATTTAACCCGCGGGATCACGCAATTCTAAAGGGCGTGGTCGTTCGCTGCACAATTGCAACAAAGCCTGGAGTTCCCATAAGTAAGATAGAATGCCCGTGGGAAACAAACAGTATTGCAATCACATTCGCGATCGGTCTTTCTTTGTGTTTATGTTGAGAGGGCTGTAAACAATTCATTTAATAACTATAGATAATTATTCCAAAGGGAATCTTTCGTTTTTTAAACAAACAATTTTCATCGTATTTGCTAAGCCCGATTACTGCATAAAGCGGGGATGATGGTGGTTCGATTTCTGTTTAATGCATGCCCAGGCGTCGTCGTTGCTTTTTAAAAAATGAACCGATGTTCCAGAATTCAATTAAACATTTATGTATCACGTATCATCTCAAAAATTTATAGACAATGATCTTTATGTAGAAAAGTAAGGTGGAAGGCCTGGCTTTATAATGAATGCAGACTCGCGTCTCCCAGGTACTGTAACAAGATCCCGTAGGATACGGCATACTGAATATGATTGGATGCCACAGAAAACCTATTTTCTGCAAACAAACTTCAAAAGGGGGCTTTCTAAAAAACAATGAGCTTACAAATGAGAAAGCGTCTGTGTCGCATTTCGACATCTGCCGATATCTACTTTCGCTTGGGCTTGGGTGTGCGAAACTTGCGGCCCTTCTAAATATCTCAAACATTCGATTATAGAGATACACTGTGCAACAATAGTAACAAATGTGTGAAAAGAACAGTTTGTTTACGCCAATCTTTAAAGGTTGATCCCAAATCCTAGAACTCACGCGAGGATTTTGATTTTGAACTCGTTATTCGAGTAAAATGATGTTTATTAATTTATTATTGGCGAGACTTTCGTTTCGAAACTAACTACACTATACAGGGTGTTCCTAAATATGATGTAAATACGAAAGGAGCTAATTTTTTGGCTTACTTTTACAAATAATAGTTCATATAAACATAGGTCCGCAAACTCTTACGTTACTGATTTACAGGGTGTTAAATTTCAAGATTTTTTTCTTTATATCTCCTGAGTTCTTTGCCCAAACTTGAAATATATGTTAGGCTGAATGGCTTACATCGTTTGTCATGTCAATGTCTACAGTACGTGGTCTTTTCAGGGGTCATGTTCTACCTCTGAACTTTTTTCAGGCTAACGCTGGTAGATTGTAAAATAATAATTTAATTTTCTGATTTGTTTCGAAACTGTTCGGACTCTTGTAATTTTTTCGTATTATTATAAAGTAAAAGTTTAAATTGTAAAGTGTACGGTGCAATTATAACAACCTATAGATCAATAACGAAGTGTTTGCGGAACTATGTTACTTTTAAACATAAAATAAGTATTATACCCTTCCGCTTTCGCAAGTCTTATTCCAAAGAAAACC